TTTTCATGGCATTTTATTCCATTTTTCTGTGAAAGTCTAGGGAGAATTCCATCTGAATGTCTTACCCTCCTACATCAGCCAAACTGTTGATTTCATTCTGTTACCAATACTTGCTGACTAGCTTTTGTTCAGCTCAGAGGGATTTTTTCCACTTGTTTTACATCCGTGGATGACTGGCCAGACTTTGCTTACCTCTGGAACTTCTCTATCCCTGTTGGCTAATCCATGGGCCTCAGTAAAGAAAGCAGGATACATTCATAATATTCTGAAAGGGTAATGTCACTTTTAAATTAATTGGCAGACATTGCATTGCTGGTAGGTAATATATTTTCCATTTAAATCTATATAATGCTGTTCATAATGTGTAAAAATTAGTCGGCCCATGAGAGGAACAATGGGAACCAACTTTGATGGACTAAAAATCCCCACCCCTTCCCCAGCTCAAGCTAGGCAGTGAAGCATCTACCTGTGCTGTAGTTGGGAACTTCCCTATAGACCTGCATCTGCAGGCTTAGAATTAGATTTCATTCTCTTGTTTTAGGGAAGACTTGGCTCTCACCTTTCTTCCCAAAGCTCTTCAACTATCAAGTTTCACAAATGTTTTTGGAAGCAATTTGTACTCGGATAGCGTAGGACACAAAATGGAAAGAGGCTGGATGTCTGTATAAGCTTAAAGCTGATTACTAATTCATCACCCACATATCAGCTACCCCAGAATCATTAATCACCAGGAGTGGTTCATGACAGCTTCAGAGCTTTTAAAACAGGAAAGCTGGAAGAAGTTTTGGAAAGTACTATAGGAGTTTATTTTAATTTCAGCAAATTTCCCCCATGTAAAATTGGTTCTGAATGCATCACCTACACCCGCTTTCCTGAATTCCAGTAACATTTTACATTTATTGGCATGAAGATCAGGATAAGTTGGCTTTGTTTCTCCTCCCCACTGCCCCTGAGGAGTTATTCTGTCCACAAGAAATGGACAAAAATGTTTAGCAGCAAGGACTGAAAGTTTAGCTGCTTATCTGGAAAAATAGGGCATGCCTGAAGTCATGACAATTAAGTCAGAAGAAAACACACACTTCTTCTGAGCCAACCCTCAATCACTGTTCCCTTCTGGTTGTCTATGGAGCACAAAAAGAAATATACTAACTGACTTTTTTTTTTTTTTTTTTTTTAACTTCAGAAATGGCTATTTCTTTTGCTTCTGGTGTCTTGTTAAATAGACAAGCAAGCCCAGCAGTGGTTAGCCTGGTTGTTTCTGGCTATGCAGTACTATGCTAGTTCATAGTCTGCTCTGTGTAAGATTTGTTATGATCTTGATATTCTGCATTTTCTGTGCTGGTTAATACATGGAAGTGAACTTGAGAACTGTTCAAAAACCTATGTGTCTCCAGTGTTCATAAATCCACCTTTACAGCTTCTGCACAGATCTAGGCGTTTACATCTTTCAGGCCGCCTCTCAGGCATTCTTCCTAGCACTCCCTCTGTGCTCTCCTGTTCCTAACTGGTGCCATTCTTCTGGGTATTGTCCTGCCAAGGCTGGGTTGTTCTTGATCCTCCTTGACAAGCCATTTCACATCCTAAAACCTCCCCCTGGATCCTGTATCTTCCTCCCAAGACCACTTAGTGCATTTTGTGAGGTATGGCACTATTGAGTTTCTGTAAGAAGCTAGCCTTGATTCATCTCCTGCTGCTGCCACATCCTCCAAGACTCAGGGGAAAACTCTCCCAGTCTCTCCACACAACCTCTCCAGTTCATGGATACACCAACATTTCCTTCTATCCCAGCTTCATTTTCGTAAGACAATATTGCCTCTACCTCCTGTGCATAAAGTGCACAGGCACTGCCTGCATTTGAGGGGTGCAAGTAATGGTCCAAGAGGCTGACTTAAAGTTATGCAATATACATGTACGGAAAATCACATTTTATTACTATTGCATATTTTCTATCTTTGAAAATTGGATTATTTTTTTCCCTCAACAGTGCAGTTGATACCTTCAAATCATAAGTAGAAGCTGTGAGTCTGATGTGAGTCACCTGACTTACAGAATCTCAGGATTCAATTAAAAGTATGAATTTCTAAGGGAAATCATGAGACTGAAACATTGATAATATCTTGTAAACCTTATATCTATTTAACAGAACTCAACTTCACTGTGCATACATAGCCTTAAAGTATTGGCAAACATTTGCAACCGGTCTTATATCTCTCCCTTCTGAATGTTTTACCATGTGCATTGCTTGTCAAGATGCAAGCATTTTTTTCAGTGGAAAAATATAGTTTGTGCTTTCCAGAAGGTTAGGTTAGATTAATGGTCCCTTCCAGTCTCAAAATCTATAAGGCTGTTCTACTCTATTGTTTTTTGAGGTATTTCTAATAGAGTTTTCTTCAAGAAGGACTGGCTTTCATAACACATAACTGAAATGTTGCTATTGTTAGAGAGAGGATATTTGGAAGCAGATCTAGTAATGACTGATTTGTATATATGCAGCACATCTGGCACATGTGGATGCATCAGAACAAAAGTGCCTGCTCTGTGGAATCGATGTATACGCCAACATTAGACAGTCATTTGGTATGTCTGCACCAGACCAATGCTCTTTCATGTTCTATAGTATTTTCTACTATGACAACCCACATGAAAAATCCTGCAAAGCTAGCATTGCATTCTTTTGACTTCCTCCCTTAAAGAACCTGTGTGATACTTGAGAATAGCTATAAACACCACCAGCTCCTTATGGATTAACTTGTACATCACATATTAATATAAGGTTTTCACAACAGGATCCAGATCTATTAAAATGCTGAGAACAAATCCCCACAAATAATAAATTTTATTTACATGGTTCAAAATTCTGTATCATGATGCCTATCTGTTCTATAAGGCTACATCTGGGATTAATTTGACCCACTACAATTATTTTCACATCTGAACACATCATAAAATCTCTATAAATAGATAAATTTAATGGGGAAGAGCGGCACAAGAATTATTTACTATAAATTATGAAATAAAACAAGATGGCAAAGTAATCTCTGCACAGATGAACCACTAAAATATAATTAGTGAGACTCTGCAAGAGACTGAATATACCTGAAATAGCTTTAACATGTCTTGAATAAGATATGATCTTGGCATACTTTTTAAATCCCTGTTCAGCTTAAAAAAAAAAAAAAAAAAAAAGAAAAAAAGAAAGAAAGAAAGAAAGGAAAAAGAAAAGAGAGCATGTCAGAGAGATTGATCTATACAACTAGGAAGCTGAGAAGACTACTAATGGGATAAATAACGTTTCTTTTATAGGTTGCTAGTCTGAAGGCAGTCCAGTATCACAGTACCCCAAAGCACAACAGTTTCATATTTCAGATCAGATCATATTAAGGATGGCTGGCTTGCAGGAAGGAATCAGAAGCCCAGGATTTAAAAACATGATTGCCTAAGTTAGGCTGCTAAAACACTCACCTTATTTTCAAGCCATGAATCATGGCTAGTTTTACTGCACTGGACTCCTACCACTTCTCTGCAAACTTACTGAAAAGGATTTCATTAAAGTCACTAACCTTCCTGAGCTAGATGCTAACTTAACTTTGTGTTGTCCCTCCCCATAAAGTGAACTGAACCCTGCATGTCATCTATTCTGTAATTTATTTTCATTTAATTAAATGACATGTACTTTCTAAGTTGAAGAACACAGTTATGAACCTATACATTTAAAATGACAAAAACAAGGAGAACGACTGTTTCCAACATCTGTAGCTCTATTTGTGTACATCTCCACATTACCCACCTGAACTCACAGTAACAAATGAGCACATCAAACATTTACATATTCCCCTCCCGCAACCTAGAAGTTTATCAAAGTCATTTAGCTTTAGAAAGTACAATAAGAAAAATAAAGAGGGTGTTATACTATATCCTGGAGGTAAAGTTCATATAAATTGGGCCAGCAGAGGCTGATCTCACTTGTCAGGACAGCACATTCGAAACATAGGCAAGTCTCTCAGGACAGAGAAATTACAGGATTTTATAGAGTAAAATTAATATACTTGAAATGAATATCAGAAGCTGGAGTGGCCAATGAACAGCTGGAGCTACATAATCCACATGTGACTTGTACAAATAATTAAATGTTCAGCCCCATTTTATTACTGGATGGCACTCACATACATTCCTCAGTTTGGCCTGATGTAGGGAAACCTATTGCGATCCAGTCTGAGATGGAGGCAGCTTCAATGTATGTAACAAGAACCTGCATACATAAACACAAATCTTCCAGATAAACAAAGATAGCGAAAGATCTCTTTGCCACAGCTTTTACTCAAGACCTGAGCAACAGGAAATTCAAGAGGACATCCAGGTGGCTGAATTCATGATGATATAGCAGACACACTGCCTCAACTGAGGTACCCATCTAGATCTCTCATGTTACTCTCAATAATTTAATCTGTCTTGTGCTGAGAGAGCTCTGCCAGCTCTCTCCTTGCATAGTCTGGCTCCAGAAATGTGCAGTATTTACCACTTAGCATCGTGAAAGAGAGTTTGTTATAAAGATGAGCATCATCACACCAAGAGACACTGCTTCTTTAAACACTCCACTACTCCCTCTGCTGACCTCTTCCCTGCTTGTAGACCAGTCATGTTGGGTTGAAAGAAGGGTGTGGATAATCAATAGAACCAGGCTGACATCCCTCAAAGAGTTATGCATGAGGCCGTATATCTAGATGGCATCAAAATGTGTCAGCTGAAAGGGCCAAAACAGACATCAAAATTGTTTTTCTATATGGCCTGGAAAAGATCATTGCCAGATATTAGGTTTCTAAATAAGTTCCATACTGAATGAGATCAAAGGAAGAAAACAAGTATTAAATATTGAAAAAAGCATCATCATAATTCTGAGTTAAAATTACTTATATCAGAAATGGTGTTTTAGGATTAATGTTTTCAAAGTACTCTGCAAATATGAAGACTTATGCTTTATAGATTATGATGAAAATACTTACAATATTCCTCATGTGTTTCAGCATTATTGTCAGACGGGTGCCCTCATAAGATATGACTAATTGTACTCCAGGCTTATGATCAGTTGACTGAGGACCTAAAAAAGGTCAGTTTGATTTTTTAATGAAGAAATTAGTTGAAGTAGATGTCTAAAATAATTCAGAATACATGCAACAAAATTATTGCCTGCTTAAATCAGTGATCAAATTAGAAAACACAATTAAAGAGTGTGATCAAGAAAGTGGTCTGATGTAGTACTCATCTTCTTGCTTCTTTATGCATTGACAATGAGATTTTTGTTTTCTAACTGCCATCAATCTGAATTTCAGTGGAAAATTTGTGACTGAGCTAAAAATAATTCTATATTTTTTATTACACTAGTTAGTATTGCTGCAATTTTTCCTTTTTTTTTTTTAGTTTAGTTTCTACAACCAAAAATAAACAAAAACAAACAAACAAAAAAAAAAACACAAAACAAAACACAAGTTTCCAGACCAGTTCCAAAACAATAGTAGATTTACGATAACAACAGATTTAAACTCTTCCTTCCTCATCCTGTATTTCTCCTGCTCCAGGCTGGTTTTTATACAACTCTCTCCTTTCACAGATTTTCTGCTAAAATGAATTTACAGAGTCTGACTTCATTCTCACTGAAAAAATAAAAAAAAAAAGTAAAAAATCAGTTTCCAAGCAAGAAGAATCAGGCTCATAATATGGAATAAATGACTAAGCATATCCTGTTCCTTCCTTCTGTTGGAGGCATTGAGCCAGCTGTCTTCACTGCCAAAAAGGTGTGTCCTTGAATTGAGACATGTGTCTTACCTGTCCCACTGAGACAATGCAGACAATAAAAATGTTTTTTTTACCATGATATACCAGGTAACAGTGAACACAATAACCTCCCATTGGTATCTCTCTGACCGTTTTATTCTGCAGTGCTAACCCTGAACATGGGGGACATGAGCTGTTTTGCACCACTTGGTCTGAGGCCCAGGGCTCTCACCACACTGTGATCATCAAAGGCAGCCCAGACACTACCTGTATGAACTAGCCTGGTTTTACTTGCAGAAATAGGGTTTCATTTAATTAGACCAAGGCTATGTTGCATTCAGTATTTTATATTTACTCTACTTGAAAAAATAAGAACTTAATCCTGCTAACCTTACAACAAAACAGTGATCTTGCAGGAACTACATTGTGTTCTGCCTTCCTCCCCATTAAAAATACAGCTGGGCTTGAGACCTCAAACAGAAAGGTGCTGCTCCCCTGCACATGTCTTGGGATCTGCCAGTAAAACATCATCCTACCACAGGGAGAGATAATGACACAAGACAAAACAATACAATAGTAATTAATTCTTTAAATAGAAACATATCATATTAAAAATGGAGGGAAGGATGATAAGAATGAAAGAACTGCCACCACACACTGGGGTTACGCAGTAGAAATAAGAGGTGTTTTAGAGAGCATCGGTACTATTCATCTTCAATAGCGGACAGGATTTTCATAACTCTCTTTCAGTCTCAGCAGACACCTGTGCACTCTTTTGCTCTCTCCATTTCTCTTTTGCACATGTGCACCAGAACTATTACAGCCAGGGTTGTAAGGGCAAAAAATCAACCCCTCTCTCCTCAGCCTCTACTCTGTTAGTCAGCAGAGGAAGCGGCATGAGGGAAGTTATAAAGAATAAGCCATGTTGGCTATATTTTTCCGAAGAAACCAAAAGAGTAACCTCTTGAGTGAACAGAGGCTAAAATAACTGCTAAGCAGATAGAATTACAGTGCTGTAATGTACTACAGAGAGCCAGAGAGCTAGTGTAATTGCCATTTATCCTAAGGAAAGGAATTAAAATTAATTAAAAATAACAGTGGGTACATAAAATTGCCATAATATATTTTTTTCTGGGCAGTCTGAATATCAACACTTCTGAGTTGCTGATGTTTGGACTGGAATTTTAGAAGATGAAGCCATCTCCAGTTTCTTCCCTTTGGAGACTACAAAAATATATTTTTAATCATACCCTAATTAGAAAAGAGCCTGAAACAGACTCTTGAAGAATTGAAATGTTATGAAGAAATCACTAAGCTAGGACTTAGAAGACTGAGATGCAGTCCTTCATTTGTTATTCTCCTTTATGAGCTGTGACAAATCACTTAGCTAGACTATAACTTATTTCATTTGTTGTATGCAAAGAAGGACAGTGAGGGATAAGAAAGTGAGGAAAACTCTATGAAGCAGAAAATGCTGATTTTTTTATTTTTTTTTTCCCTAAGGGTAACAAAAAGCTCACAATCCCCATTGCACACTCCCACTGCTCTGCAAAGCTGTTACCGTTTTTAAAAAAAACAACTGTGGGGGCCTTTTCCTTTAAGTTGCAGCAGGAAACATAGAATTCTAGGGCTTTCAACTCAGTGTAACACAAGGGGCTTGTGCTTTAATGCAAGGACACAATTCTCTTGAGGGGCTCTGTTAATTTTGTGAATTGGAGTGGGTCATCTTGAGCAGTTTAGCAAGGGCAGCAGACCTCAAAAGCTAAATTACGTCATTAGAATTCAGTGAAACATTGTGCCTTTCTCTCCTACCACTACAACCACTGCTTTTTTCTGTTTTATAGTGTGAGTGCTTACGTCCAGTGGAGGACTTCTTCTACAGTTGTTGGCATTTTCATTTAGAAAAAAAAAAAAAAAAAACACAACAAATGTAAGTAAGTTTCTAACCAAACTGAAAATAATCAAGTGTAGGAGGAGAAAATGCAATTCTAATTGACTGTGTAAAACAGAGTATGAAACAGACACTATGGTCATGGCTATTACCAAAGCATTTGCTCCTGCTATGGGAATAAATTGAGCACTAATCAAAGCACAAAAGCAAAAACAAAACCAGCCCTAAAATGAAGAAAAAGGGGGGAAAAACAATACAAGAAATCTGGTAAATGTGGAAGAAACTTCTATTCCTTATATTTCATAATAAAAGACAGTTTCTATTAGCTAGACTTAGATGTTATATTTTAGATTCTCCTACATTCTGCACTAAATCATAGTCTTTTTGAAGTCTAGGTGATTTTAGCTTCAAATAATACTAAAATACACATACAATAATTACTTTCAGTCTATCCAGCTTGGGCAGATGGACTTGAGCTCAAACCCTGCATTTTTAGGAACTGTCATGCTCTACTTGCACTTCATTATATGCAAGCACCAAATGCCGGTCTGTTGTAGATATAGGATAAAGCTTCACTGACTTCCATGAAGCAAGATTTCCCTCCCAGGGGCCGATACTTCACTCACTGGTGTCAATGCAAAACCTGTCAAATATCAAATGAGGACCCTGGAGTAGGAGTGCCAACAGACAGAATGGCATTTGTAACATTTTTATAAATGACTCGTGTCTGCATGCCCCAGCACTCGGGAGTGAATGTCAGCTGCCAATTTCCACTACAGAGAAACTCAAACATTGTGCCAGTTTATAATTTTTTTTCATCAAGAAGCATGAACACTGGAAAAAAGTGGGTCTATTCTTCTTTTTAAATGACAAAACTAAAGAAATCAGTTTTCAAATTAATTTCTGTTGAAGGTGGAATAATCTTCAGAGCAATCAATGATGTAGTTCTTTTATTATCTCAATGGTTTTTCTAGCCTGTTGGAGAACTACCTGCTCTAAATGCTGTATTTTGTGCAGTGTTTGCTTTAGCAGCATTTTAAAACAAGCTCTGCATTATGATTTGCACAATGCATGAGAAATATAAACAGTGGAGAAGATGCTACACAGAAAACTGATGAAATCAATAGGGAAATTATAATTTATTATACCCAATTTCACATGTAGACTGCAAAGCAATATGCAAACACTAATTAACAAAATGTCATAGCAGTACCATCAGGGAGTTAATATTATTCTGTCTTCTGTACCCTTGGATATGACTTATACCTTCTTGGTGTTAGCCTGTTCTGACCAAGCAAATGGTACTGGAACCTGTTCGATTTCCCAGGACCAGAGCTGAACACGCCTAGCCGAACAGTTGTTTGCTCTAGCTACAGTTTGGGTTTTTGAGCCTCCAGCATACCTGACAGTGGATCACAGAATCACAGAACGGTTTGGATTGTAAGGGACCTTAAAGGTGGTTTAATTCCAGCCCCCCTGCCATGGGCAGTGACACTTCCCACCAGATCAGGTTGCTCAAAGCCCCATCCAACCTGGTCTTGAACACCTCCAGGAATGGAGCATCCACGGCTTCTCTGGGCAGCCTGCTCCAGTGCCTCACCACCCTCTGAGTGAACAATGTCTTCCTAATATCTAATTTAAATCTACCCTTTGTTAGTTTAAAACCATTACTGCTTGTCCTATCACTATCTTACAAAGAGTCCCTCTACATCTTTCTTGTAGGCCCACTTTAGGTATCAGATGATTGTTGTAAGGTCTTCCTGGAGCCTTTTCCTCTCCAAGATGAACATCCCCAACTCCTTAAGGCTGTCATCACAAGGAGATGTTCCCAGACCTTTGATCATCTTCATGGCCCTTCTCTGGACTCGTTCTAATAGGTCCCTGTCCTTCTAGTGCTGGGAGCCTCAGAGCTGAACGCGGGGCTCCAGGTGGGGTCTCATGAGAGCACAGCAGAGGGGGAGAATCCCCTCCCTTGCCCTGTTGGCCACACTGCTTTTGATGCAGCCCAGGATACAGTTGGCTTTCTGGGCTGTAAACACACAGTGCCACATCATGTTGAGCTTCTCATCAACCAACACACCCAGGTCCTTCTCAGATTGCTCTCTGCCCAACCAGTATTTGTCCTTGGGATTACTCTGGCCCAGATGCTGAACCTTGCACTTGGCCTTCTTGAACTTCATGCGTTTCACACAGGCCCACCTCTCAAGCCTGTCAAGGTCCCTTGGACAGCATCTCTTCCCTCCAGCATGTCAACCATACAACACAGCTTGGTGGCATCAGCAAACTTGCTGAGGGTGCACTTAATCACACTGTCCACATCACTAACAAAGATGTTAAACAGAACCAGTTCCAATACCAGTCCCTGAGGAACACAGATATATTCACTGATTCTCACCCTGCTCTCACCCTGTAAACTAACAAGAGGTGCGTATGGCCAGCAAACATCCTAAACCCAAGTGAAATAGGAACACAATTTATGGCAGTTGCTTTACATCAAGAATGAACAACTGCAGCAGATGAGAATGCTATATAACATGAGCAAAATAGCCTACTCTCCTGAGGGAGCATTCATGAAGAATGGGATTCTTCATGGAGTGGCGTATTGTACATACTGCTTTTTGGAATGCTTGGATCTTGCTTCAGAAAGACACAGAGATGTTTCCTCTACTGCTCTAAATAGACAAAAGCACACTGAAGTGCATGCGACACTTATCAAACCTGCCAGAACTGGACCTGGGTTGTGAACTGTTATAACCAATACCAAAGATTTCTTGCTTTCATAACTTTAACAAAACAGGCTCAATTAATCATATTTTCATGAGATAAAAACTCCAGAGAAAAAAAATAAAATATATAGATTGATATAAAATAATTTTGATAGATTTTCTTTCTTCTTTTTATTTTTTAAGAGTCTTTATAAAAGCCTGTCTGTGAAATCATTCCTAATATCCGCTCTCACTCCCTTGTAGTGTGCTTGGTGTAATGAAATGCTGACAATATTCAGTGTAATTCAGAATCCATCCCACTGGGAATATTGAATCAGTATTCATGTCAAAGTAAATTTAGCACTGATTTTTAATCTCTTCATTGCTAGGAGCACAGTACAATTTCATAAATTTTAATTTTTATTTTACTTTAGTAAGTGTAATTACCTACAACATTTGTGAATTAAAGCTGTGTAAGAGAAGGATGCTATCTTGATCAAAATTTATAACCTGCTTCTGCTGGGCATTGGCTTTATTTTTTATTGATCCTAACTAAAAGACAGATGATTTGCTTGTGTAAAGGATGAGAGAGAAACCACCAGGTTCATGGAAAGCTGCAAACCGTACTAATCCTGCATTATTCTTCAAAACAGGCAAAAATTAAGGTGCTTATATGTTCATAAATCAATAAAATCTGTGGGTGAAGGACGTATTGTTTTCATGGTAATTGCCTTTCTCCCGCAGGCACAATGAATTTCCCACCCCAGTCCAAATATGGCATTTCTACAGGGCTTTCTTTCAAGTCAAGTGTTTCGGGGCACCCTCAGCAAAGAGGAGCCTCCAGGACCAACAGACGGTGCCCTGCCCAGAAACTCTTTGTATGCTACCTGGCAGCTTGTCATGATCACTAGCCTGCCTTAGCTGGACTTGTGTCTTCCTTTACTCACAGGACAAATTGCAATAGGGCAGTGAATGTCATGCAATGATCTAAGTGAGCTAGGTACCTGGGGTATGGCAGAGATCTAACTCCAACAACAAGGGGTGAAGCTTAGAGTAATGTATGAAAATTTTTCAAGTGAGTAATTAGTACGTACATGGTTGGTAGGCTGACAGCTGCAATCAGCTGTGGACGAGGTTCAACCTCTTTCGTCACCAACCAGAAGTGGTGGCATACTCAAAGCAACTCAGTCCATAATTCTTGATCTCTGTTTTTACAGTGTCTAAACTCATTGTGTCCTGGTGTGGACCTTGGATCTACTGCTATTCTATTAACAAATGTCAGCAACCAATTTCTAGGCTAAAGGGAGATTTTAATATACATACATAAATACATACAGACATATATATATATATATATATATATATATATTTCTGTTAAACAATGTTTTTGTCCCGGGCCTACAATGAATGAGTCCAGACTTTAAAAGGCAGAGTTCCTTAGCAGGAAAATGATACCCTCTGTAGCTACACTACATTAATCTCTCCTGACCAGGTTGTGATCTTTATGTAATGGGGCCACTGAGTTCACAGTGAACCAGCGGATTGGGTTTTCTGTCACGTAGCTTTCATTAAATACCCACTAAACACATTCTTACCTTTCTTTTTTTTCATCCTGTTCTCTGATTTTGAAGTAATTGACAACAAACTTAAGGACTCACCCTTCAGATTATATTGGTTTAGGACACCACCATAGGACTAATTTATTTTGCAACTTTGTTACAGTTCAGTTCATGCTTTGCACAAGATATTTACACATGGATTCTCTGTAATAACTAGGCACCTAAACCTAATTGAAATGTCAAAATCCCTCTAAAGACCCCAGACTTAAACTCCCTCATGCCTCAGCTCTCTCTCATGTCTGCAACATCGGTTAGAGTCTATAGAGAGCAGTAGCCCATGGACCCAGATACATATCACATTTGTACTCCAGGCTGGATTCTCTATGGTAAGATTCAGTTTTGAATATTTAAAACACCTAGGCCATTTCTGCATTATCCTCTCATTCTTTTGTACAAGTTAGAGCAACCATTAGTAATTTCCAATATTCATAATGGATTTAATATGATAATGGCATCCCTAATCAAATAAACTACATCGGGGGAGTTCTTCCAAAGGCTGAGAAGACAGAATAGGATTTATTTTGTTCTGATGATTTTTTTTAAATGGTCACAGCAAAAGAGATAATAAAGCCCCTGTCTGCAGAGAGAAGAAATTAACATAATGGACATGCAAACTAAATATGCTGAGCTATTCCACATTTCAGAATGGAGTGTGAGAACTGGTCATCTTGGAAACATTCTGTCACTTGGAGCAAAAAACAACCAGATGAATTGTTTTGGTGCAGGATGCAGCTGCAAGCTTATTTATGAGATTTTATTTTGCCTAAAAATTGACTATTGAAGTTTATTTTCAGTGTAGAAATAGTGCAGTGGAAGATAAGAAACATCTATGGTTTACATTATATGGTTTATGTTTTGGCCCTTAATTCTGTAATGTCAGAGATTAGATTAAATTAAGTGCTGCACAGAAGAGGAAAATGGTTAAGCATTTACATAGGCTAAGGGAACAAAGTGGAATGTCATTTAGTAAGAAGTGAATTACCACTACCATTAATAATGTATGCCTAGGCATTAACATAATGTTCTGTTATTTACCTGCTCCACTCATTGTAAAAATGACTAAAGTCATCCCTAATGTTCTTTTCTTGCCCAAGTATACATTGTTCTTTGTTATGACTCATATCCTTTCCTCTAGATTCTTCTCTGAAAATTGTTTTGTAAAACAAGAAACATGCCACAGTTTGTCTAAATAAACTTTTACTTTGCATATAGGTATGTTTATTCAAAAAGAAGTAAAGCAAGGCTGAGGAGCATATGCCAAAGTGAAAACAAGCTACAGGTCACATTACTAAAACATTTCTAGAGACCTTGAGAAGTCAGGAAGCATTTGTTGGTTATCTATTGATCAAAAAAAAAAAAAAAAATCCACATTAAACACTTTATTCGCCTAAGAATAAAGAAGATTGGTAGTTCACATACCTAAGGTCACAGATGATGATGTTTCTGTGAAGGTTTTTTTGGTCCAATTCAAGAAGAAGCTGAGTACAAGCTCATTCTGAAAGAAAATAAAAATACTTCAGGGAATAACACGTGCTCTATTCCTTGAATTAGTTCTCTCAGAGCAGATTGCTGGTAGGCTTTTGATGCATATATTGGAGTCAGCAATGAAGGCCAACCTTTCCACTCCAGTCATGGGCAAGAACCCCATGGAATGATTTCTATGCAGGCACTGGGAAGACAGTGGTGCCCCTTACCACTGGCTCAGGGAGGCTGCACGGATGCCTACCTCACCCCTTTCTTTCAACACCCATCCAAATAGCAACGTGCAATATAGGCCATATATTTGCATTCTTACTGGATCTCAGTATCTCCTATATACACATTAGCAGCTGCAACTACATATACAGTGCAGCACATCTATGAAACAAATGCAGGATAACATCTTTCCTGAGTATTGTGCAGTCAGCATGAAATTTGTCCTTGGCAGAGGACCAGCCTCAAGCATCTGACCTGACCTGTGCCCCACCCTCAGGCTTAGATATTGCACATACCTGACTTGGAGCTTTAATGGATGCTCACACTGAAAAGGTCCATACAGAGTTAACTCCTACCAGAAACAGTCATATTTTACCAGCCTGTTTCAAAGAGTAAGCCACCTTACGCACTGCCCTATCACTTTGTTTTTTATGTACTGCCCTGTACTGCTCCAGTGAACATATATAACAGGTAGTTACATTCAGCTTTAGAGAATTAAACCAATAAACCAAATCCCCAGATTTGAGTATTGTGCAAGGCAATAAAAATATGAATTCTAAAATGAACTCTTATGATTCCAAATCAAAGGTGGACAGTAATTACATCACAGAATCACAGAATTTCTAGGTTGGAAGAGACCTCAAGATCATCGAGTCCAACCTCTAACCTAACACTAACAGTCCCCACTAAACCATATCTCTAAGCTCTACATCTAAACGTCTTTTAAAGACTTCCAGGGATGGTGACTCCACCACCTCCCTGGGCAGCCTGTTCCAGTGGGCAGCCTGTTCCAGTGTTATTCCCTTTTTCATAAAGTCATATTTCAGAATGTCCATTCTTTAAGACTGTAAGAATTGCTACATTCATACTGATGCCACTTGGACTGATGCATTAACAAATGGGTTGAACAAGAGTCTTTTCTGATTCTAGCATTAAAATGCCACCTTTTTTTTTTCCAGGCCATGCAAAAAAAAGTCTCTTATCGACAAGATGTATTTCATGTAGCTTTTGTATTGTTTCAGTTTGACAAGATGCAGCATGATTTGTGAAAGGAAAGAAATAAAAGGAAGAGTTTAGTGACAAATGCAGCTAGTGAGGAGTTACTGTAAGTTCAGCAAACAGAAGAACAAGCTGTATATGGTATGGAGATAAAATTTAGCAATCTGGATTTATTTTAGCAGTTGTCTTTTGTTTTTCATTCGACTGCTTGGGATTTTTTCTCCCACATTAATATTTGCTTTAAAAAAAATAAAAAAAAAGATAAATCAACATTTTTTTCTTTGAATTGAATGACAAATAATGGAGCTATTATCAATGGATTGCCGATATACCTGTCCGTTCTGAGCATAAGTAATTATTTTCTCATCTCATGAGGATAGGTTATAGTGGAAAGCCCATACACCTGCTTCAGCTTTTAACAGCTTTAAACAGCCAAGTTACTCCCTGTGGGACCTCCATTTGCTCTTTCAGCACAAGTCCCAAGGGTAGGAAATCTCAAGTGTTGAAAGAATGTATTTTTTTTGGCAGCTCAGCCTTTATTTGACAGCATGAAAATAAGCAAAGAAACTTAGGTAGCCCTTTGAGTTGAAAGATCTTGAGAGAAGTGGGTAGGATGTGGAAGGAAGGATACACTAACTGACTTGAAAGAGAAATAGAAAAATTCCACAGTGAGCAGCCTCGTGTTCTGCTTCCTCTGCTTACTCTGTCAGCAATCTGAAAATAGATATAATAGTGAACAGAGAGGTTTGTAAACAGGAGATGGGAAGATTTTTTTTCAGGAGAGAGTTCCAAATTCTCTTCCTAGAGGAAAGAACACTGAAAAAAAAGGACATTTGGTTTAAGAACACAAGAAGAATCAGTGCAGATCATACACTTGGCATGAACATAACGGGCATGTACATAGCTAGTTCCACAGCACTAATTTCAAAGCATTCCCAGTCTGTGTGTCCGTTGTATTCAATTGGTATTGAAGCATGCGGGCAAGCAGCAAGGATAATGTTGGTAAATGGAAAGAAAAAAGCAGGCCAGGTTGCAGGGGCAGATTTATCAAGGGCAAAGTGTTTCAGAAACAATGGAGGTGCTCTGTTACAGGTTTGCTTCAATAGGCATTTTGTACACTGCTATGTACAAGACAGCATTTTCTCCCTGAACTGTGCTAATCTACCTACTGCAGGATACCACCATTTAGGTTTCCATCAGCAAAGTATATAAGTACCTTCTTAAGTTTACTCTTCATCATCAGATCACCAAAACACATGCTGAACTTACAGGTGATTCCTAAATACTGTTGCAGTTAATGGGACTTCAATCAATTGGACACCAGTCCAGGACTGAAGCACATGCTTAGAGTTAAGCATACATCTAATCACATTGCTAAGCAGAACCAGGCACTTCAGAGCCTTGAATGCATGCATATATGGTCAAAGGCACATCATATTTAGGTGGACAGAGTGAACAAGCAATTGTTATTACAAAGAAGTACGACCATAGGTGGGAAACTTAAGATCCCATGACTGTCTTGGCAGATGGGCAGGGACTGAAGATGACCACAAGAATTCATCTACTATTTTTCCCCTTAAATTATTATCTTTAAAACAGTAAATGGAAATTCCATAAGATAACAGCCATTTGGGGATTTTTAGGAAAGCCCCCTACCAGTTCTCTAACCATTCTTACCTACTTAGATAACAATTTAAAAGGTAATGTTGGTATTTTTCCAGGTCACTCAAAAACATTAATCTTTTGGGGAGCAGCCAAGTACGTATAGGTGCATCAGTGCTCGTCTGGTTAGAACTCTTGCGTGACCTTTATTCAGCCATTATCTCAAAAGAGATGAATTCCACCTTCACTCACACTAGTATACAGCTGATATAAGCAATTTCAATGACATCAGGGGAACTAGCACAGCCCTGTACCACTGTAGCACAGTAGAATTTGTCACTGCTTTCCATTAGAGCTTAACTAGAAAAGTACTCTGCTGTTAGTGAAACACAGCCAGATTTCAAGCCAGATTTAATTTCATCAAAAAAAAAAAAAAAAGAAAGAAAGAAAAAAAGAGCAGTCTGCTTTGCTTTCAGCACTCTTTTCAGCTTTTAGAGTAGATTTGGGGTCAGAGAACACCCAAGCACCTGTTATACTTAACCAGGATGGAGAAGCAGCAGGAAAGAAAGAAACCAGAAAAAGCTGACCTTGTTGCAGCTATTATAAATTCAGGAAAGGACAGAGGAAAAGAGAGGACTTTGAACCCTCCCCATTTGGGCTCTGCTTGATATCTGCCTGTAGGAGTACAAGAGTGGTGGGAGTTTAAGGGACCCACATAACTTAGGTATGCTTTGTACCTTTGTGTTATATAACTCCATGCGGGCACTGCCAGAGATATTTTCTCAGATCTGTAAATCTCAAGTAGCTCCAGTGAATAAAATACAAATGAAATTTGGTAAGCTCTTATCAAGCTTTGTTACTTCTACAGTGCAAACCATTAGTCACTCTAGAACCACATTGTGGGCCTGTTTTTCACTGTATGTTTGAAAATGAGCGAATATAGTCTACAATCATTTCCATTTACATCCTCTTTAAAGTCATTTCACACAGCCTTCAAGTCAACATAAAGCTTCTCATAGAATCCATCCATACCTGATACACTGTCACTGTTTGCTTATCTGATTGCACTTGGTTTATCTCTGCCCCCTAAATTTTTAAATAATTTGGAAAATTAAAGAGAAAATTTTTATAGCAACAAAACACAATGCACCTCATTTCTTCATACTAATTAGCTTACTGTGCACTTACACGTATTTTGTTGTTTTTTCCCCACTAACACCAAATGTGATAAACATCTCCCCTCAAACCTCCCTACACACCACACTCACAAAACCAACCTATGTGAAAGATAAGGGATGAAAGAAATAAGTTTGTTTAAGGTATAATCTTAACTACATAGTAGTTTTGCAAGATCAGTATGTACATGTATATCTAATGTCTAAGCTATGCTATCAATAACAATATGTACATATTAAATGCCACTTCTTTTAAATGATGAGAGATGGGGAAAGTATACATAGAAAACTACTATCTGGCCGTTGGTACCAAATACACAGCACAGCTACATCATACATTGCTTTAGATTCAGTTTTATATTTTTATTTGTAATGCCCAAGCCAGGTGCAAGTTGTCCTTTAAAGATAAGCAAGAAAACCTTCAGCTTAGTCAGTATCTAAATGCTGCTGCTTGTCAGCAGGGCCAAGAGCAGACCCAATTAACAGAGACTTACCTTGCTTTTGTGTTCACAGGGAGTGTGCAACCTCCTACAATACTACTGAAAAATGACAAGCCACTAGGGCAGTCCTAATTTATATTTGTTGTGATTTGGGCTGCAATCTCCATTCAGCCCATCACTCGGAGTTAAGAGTAAAATAGAGAAAACTGTAATAGTAGGTGGCAGCAGCTGCCTTTTGTCATAGATTTGATTTATACTACAACAGTGTGTATTTTTGTCCTCCCCCATGTTACCAGCTGTCCAATTTTTGTTCCTTGATGTTTCACCTATTATTTGTGGCAACACTTGGCTATTTTGCCATTTAAAGAAGCAAAACTTCAGGAGTCTAAACATGGTTGAATATGTAGCCTTGCTTAGCCTGATCTAGAAGACTCAAGCATACCAGCGCATGCAGCTCATCAGTCAGTCAGCAACAGTGCTAAATATTTCTATGATGTGATCACACATATTGCCATTGATTTGAGGGGAGTAGAATGGAATTAAAAAAGATTCTGAAACACATTTTTGATCATGTCCCAAATGAAAATATGAAAATCAACTTTTGCATTTTAGTAGTTGATGTTATGGATATAGCTTGTTGTTCATGTATATAGTCTGGTGGAGTAGTTATTTATAAATGAGTGTTAACCTGAATTAAAAAACAAGCAAACAAACAAACAAAGCATTCCTATTTCAGGCAACTCTTTAACAAATGTCTATAAGAAAACCAGTAATGAGGTTTATGCTCAAAGTAAGCCATAGGCTTAAAAAACTTTGAAGAAAAATGGGCATAAACACGTTTAAGCATTTAAAATAGCCCAACAGCAAATATCTCCATCAACAGATTTCTCAGCACAGACCAATAAGGATGTGATACTACAACTCAGAGGTAGAAGAAGGTGGCTTGATGCTTCTGTTCTTTAAAGAAGAGTTTAAAGAAATACTTAATTCCATTTGAGCTACAGTACAAATGAGAAGACAGCTATTTCCCACATCCCTTCCTTTGTTCAAACCATTTAGCAGAAAAGGTCAGTGACATTCTGACCTACTCTTAATCATAACACAATTTTCACAATTAGAACTTAGTCTGGACTGAAAAGCATGCACTTAAGGCATGACTGAGGAACAAATTTGGATATAATCCAATTCACTTTTTATTTCTAGGGTTTTTAATTACTTAGCTGATAGAACCAAGCATGCAGTTGGTCCTGTGCAGACTTGACTAACTCTTCAGTGCTGAAAAAAGGTGGTCAATGGTGTCCAGTGAATCACGGTAATGTGTTTACAGTGATAACAAGGGTATTTAATTATGAAATAAAAACTCTTTCCCTTCTTGGCTTAGCATCATCTCAAACAACGCTCCAGGATACCATTGAGCTAAAATACAGCAGACAAAAATGGTTGTGTCAAGAACATACAAGGATCCCTGTTCTACAGGCATCTACTCTTACTTTTCTTCTCAAATTTCAGAATGAATTATTTAGTCCTACATAGTTTTACTCTTTCATAGGAATGACTGTTTGGTAAAGCTTGAAAACAGACATCTCCCTAAATGGTTTTGGTCAGGCTCCCTAGAAATTTGAGAAAAAGGATAAATTTGACTGTAAAGTGGTCCTATGCATGCAGAGAGAAAATAACTGTGTTTATTTTTATCAAGAAATCCTCCTAACTTGGCTTTCTGCTCAGAGTAAAATCAAGAAGACACTATGACACTTTTGAAAGAATCAAAAGGGAAAAAGTAAAAAAGAAGCCTTCAGCTGGGAGTACAAAGGAAATTACCCACTGACTGGTATCCTTGTTCTAAGTGGGTCAGAATACATCAGTTTTCTATATTTCTTACATCTCCCAGCAACAGAAGCATATTGAAGTAAAAATAATAATTCAATGTTTATAGAGTATCAATAATTTTAAAGGTTATCACTGAGAATTGCAAGTCAGATGCATGAAGGTTAGCAAGATGATTTCCAGCATGCAACAGAACTTTATAGATGGAAATAATCTCATTACTCCATTTACTATTGTGCCCCCTCCAAGTCCTGCACACAAGTAGCTGTATGATTGCTTTAAGCATGTAATTGTTTTATCCTCCTCATGGTTTACCAGTAGAGGCTGTACCAGACTTGAATGGTTTTTAGCAGCTGAACAGTCCAGCATGTCTGCATACCCCCCACTGGACCAGTTTAGAGCTACACCAGCTTATGCTCTCAAACAGATCAGCTCACATTTTCCTACAAATACCCTATTCATTGTTGTGTCCTAGTGTCTCAGCAGCAACACTGGAAGAACTTATCCATCTCCACAGGTGTGCACTGCAGGACTGTAAAGGGAGGAGGCAAGGAATTAGGAAGCCCATTGCAAGGCAGCACGGTAAGAGCAGGAGGGAGAGGAGAGCTGTGTGTGGTTAGAAAGTGTTTTTATTACCATCCCAGGACTTTAAACAGTCTGATTTTTCAATCGTAGATTAGACTTCAACACAGCAGTGCTTGGCCTAGATTGAAAATTCATGTACCTTACAGAAGCCCAGAGAACAGCAGAAGACAGAGAGCTCTTCATTTCTAGGTCGCATTTTTCCTCTGCTGTGACCAAAAGGTGCTAATGTAAAACAAACCCGTGACTCTACCTTGAGTGACAGAGTTTACACAACAATTAACCTCAACCTGTAGAGTTTATTTTGCAAGGTCAGTCAGGAGAGCCAAGCACAAGTCAGCTGTCCATGTTAAATTAAGTGCAACTCTGTGACACACATATAATCTATCACTGGAAATCTTCTCAATTTCAACTTGGCACATAATTTTTATTAATAGTAATAAGTAAACTCCTGTTTGGTTTATGTATGGACAATTTTCTCTTTAATCTCCGCTACGTAATCACAGCTGGGAAAGTTATAAAGGTAGGCAGTAAACATTTTTCTCCTCTCGCAAGATGTTTGAAATTTTGAAGAAAAAATATCCCATCATATCCCTCTTTTGGCACCCTAGACTGTTGACATTATTAAACCAAAACAGCCTGAGTTTGTGCTATAGCCCTGAGGCAATGGGACATGACAAGGCCCATCTGGCAGAAGCCCAGGCTCTGCTAAAGAATGTGCTACCAGTGAAACAGCAGAAACAATGTAGGAGATCATGCCCCAGCTCCCTTGAATTTATTAAACTCCATATAACCATAGGGTCCAATCTTTCCTGTCCATCCAACACCTTTCCTGTCTATTGCTGCTCACAGGAAGACACTTCTTTTTCTCAGACCCAGTAATTGACCATTCAACTTATGAAGTTATGCAGCATAATTTAACATGATGCCGTTAGCCTGGTGTTTCGCAATGTTGAGGTGCATAAGGCTTTGTCCTGGGCCAGACAGTGAAGAGTCAGTTTTTGTTACTATTGTGACTGTCCATTTTGAAATAGGAGGAAAACACCAAATCTTAGAAAACGATGAATAAAAACCTGTCAATTTGAATGGACACGATATATCACTCTGATAATGAAATATTCTGATTTTGCTTTATTTGCAAAAGTTTCTTCTACACATTACTTAAATTTTGAAATGAAGAGGTAGCTCTGTCTGAAAGAACGGGACTTTTCATTTAATAACTGTCAAAATCGAACTTTTCAATATTTCAAAATTTACTCCTTTTTTTAGACATTACATTCCTCAGAACCTACTCCTTACTGTCAAAAATACAATGAATTACTACTTTTGGATGGCAGCAAAGGAAGAGAAGTTATTTTGAAAAACACCCTGCCAGGTCTAATAAACTATTTTTCAGTCATTCTTGTCTTTGTCTTAAGCTCTGATGAATGCTACAATGGATCCACCTTAAAATGGGTGCATCAGAAGTGTCATTTATGGCATTTAGTTTTTCAGACGAGGCAGTGGAAAGCTTCCTGATTCTTTTGGTATTATGCTACTAAAAGTCATGTGCAAATAAAATAAATACCGGAAATGCTCACATTTGCCATCTTGATGGATCCACTTAATAGCTGCTTCAGATAGAGATTCAAATCCTTCACTCTTTTATGTTCAAGATCTGCAAAAGGTATATGCCATGAGTGGGGAAACCTGCAAGAGAAGAGTATTTGTAATTATTACTCTTGTACTGTATTTGCTGAAAACATTTCCAGGTCTACTTAACAGAACATTAACTCTTTCTAAGATGTTTTGCTGGCAGGTGAAGGGATGGGTAGTTTACATAGGATTGTTTACTCTCTGCTTCTGGTTCTTTTCTGATAACAATTTGCTAATATTCTGTTTCATACTGTACTCTTTTTTTTCTGTCTAAACCATTACATTTATGTTACACGCACACATATACATATATACAAGTTAAAAACCTTAAAAGGCACTTATCTGCATTTTAGGGTATCTAAATACCTCTAAAAATTGGTCCTTTATGATTGTAGGAAAACATTACCCTCTCCATTTTTTTGCATAGTGCATAGCACAACAGATCTGATCTCAGACCAAGGCTCATACTATACAAAGCCTTGCCATACAATAATGAATGCCAAAACCTTACAGCAACAATGTGACATTTTATGAATATACCAATGTTTTTTTTTTTGTTTTTTTGTTTTTTTTTGTTTAACCTTAGCTATTTAGAGTGTAGGTAAGTTTTTCAGACTAGGCCCCTGAGCCTGAATGCAACTTCAGGCACTACTATAACAAAAATAATATATGAAAACAAACTATCATCACAATTAGAAAATCAATCCCAACAAAAGCAATAACAACAATAATAGCAATGTTCTGTATATTTTTTATTAAGATGAATTTCACTTACTAAATAAAACATGTTGGCACAGGGTGGTTTTATATCAATTTTCAAATGCTATGGTGAATTAAAATGTCAAAACCTGCTATTTTTTTCACTTGAATCATCTTAGTGTTTTAGATACAACATGGTAGATCAGTCAAAAAGTGAGATTTTTAACAACACACATAATCAATTTACATTAACTTTGCCCTGACAAGGACTATTTCTGTCAGGTTGAAGGATCATTGGAAAATCTAGCTATGCTGAATTGCATGTAACGGGTTTTATGATATAGATTACTAATATTGCTAAACTAGTATTATACTTTATGTCCACTGATCTATATAATACAGGGTAGCAGAAATATTGATCTGGTCATATTTCATGTTACATCACCACTGCAAACACTTAACCATGTATTGTTTACAAACCTCTTTTTCCTGATACAACCTGGTTTATGCAGCAGACCTGAAGAGATATCTGAAGGCTTCAGACAAATTACTAAAAAGCCAGCTAGCTCTCAAAATACACTGAAAATAGACACTTGCCCAGCCTTTTGAAAGACAGCTGGTCAAATCCTACTTTGAATAGGTTTTACCCAATTCCACAGCTCAGTGATAAGATGTCATCAGCTTTTCAAAAGCCAGCCAAATAGCAACACATGGAGCAGTGGATTCCCATCCCCAGAGAGGAACACTGGCCAGCATTGCAAACCACCCAGCTGTAAAAATAGCACAGCAGCCTCACCTAGTGAAGATAAAATGACCAAAGACAATTAAGCTACACTTTTTGTTACCAAGAGATTCAAGGTAATTAGATTTCATGAACTGTAATTAGATTTTTTTTTGTTTGTTTGTTTGTTTGTTTTTAAGCTTGTTTAAGCAGAAGGCCTTTTATGAAGAGAATACTGATTAATAAGGATATTGTAATTCTTTATGAGAGGACAGGTCTTTAGCTATCTTGTGTAATACTTCTGAGGAAAAACTTAACACTGGTATAACATAGTCTGCAATTAAAATGGCAAAGGGCCAGGATGATAGCAGCATATTGTATAGCCTTTTGATTATTTTTGCCTGTATCATGGGAAGATCAGGGCTCAGTTAGGCACTGTAAAAATGAACACTGAGAGGCAATTCTTGCCTGAAGAAATTATAGTAGCAGGGGATGTGACATGACCCAGAATCATGACATATATGAGCTGTACACATAAAATTAGAACGCAGGTCATTTGACATATATAGACAGGCTGTGAATGTTTTGGGCTTCTCTAGGACACAAAAGGGACTTCTTTCAAGAGGTGGTAGGGAGGATCTGTTTGGAAGCAGCACAAAATAAATGAGGCTGCATAACACAAAGAGAGGACTCTGTAAAATGTTGGCCCTCAGAAGATGCATCCTAAGCACAGTGGCCAAACTGAGGACAGATACATGCATTATCTGTAACTTCAGAGACAGCTGATTGATGGCACCCATAACTCTCTGCTGCAGTGAAGGACAATATGAACCTTGTAGTAGAACTGAACAGTTCTTTAAAGTGAATTCATGCTTTTGCTGAATTGTGCCTGTGGCTGAAATGGAGTTTGCACTTGTGAACATGCTTGTGTTAGAAAAGGTTAAGCTTCCAAGTTGATTTTGAGCTTTGCATCTAGTTTAAAGAGATCAGAAAAACATAAACTTGGGCCATTTACACACATCCTGGGTACCAGATCCCATTTGCTACCAATTAGTTTGAAGAACATTTCCATGTATAAACTATTTCACTTAAATGCTTTGTTGAGTGAAAAGACTTTTGGTTACAAAAAACAAACAAACAAAAAACACACACACACACACACAAAAAAACCACACAACAAACAACACAACAGACGACAACAACAACAACAACAACAACAAAACAAAAAAACAACCAACCACAGTTAATACTTTGTCTAAAACTAAATAAGAGAGAAGATGCCAGGGTGCAAGGGCTTGTTTGGGGAAGCTGTACTTTGAATTATAAATATGGGATGAAAGTTTACATGCAATAGCAAAATTTTACATGCTGAGAACTCTGAGCTTCTGTCTTTAGTTTCTTGTGACAACAATATGAAGCAAGCTTTTTGCCTTCCTTTGATGCTTCTGGTATTGGCCAGTGCTAGAGGCCTGCATCACACAGACTAATGGTGTGATGTGGTATAGCAGTTCCAGTGAGAATTTCACATATAGAAATAGCTTAGTTTTTACTCTTTGGGCTGCACTAGAAGCCTCCAAATGACAAAGCTACATTAAAATTAAAAAAAAATAAATAAATCAAGATGTTAGCATATGAACATTCATATAGAGAAACATCATAAAATGAATTACTTTAACACAGTCTTGAGGAAAGATCATAGAGTGATAGGTTACTGCTGGGACAGAGTTTTGGCAATAAAGTTCTGAAGCTCTTAGAAAGCCTCAGTATATGTAGATTAACCTCCTGTGAGTCCTGAACTCTCATTTGTATTAAAAATATTATAAGTTATTTTAATAAAGGTAGGTTTAGTGAAAAATAGCTAGTGCTGGTTTTGAAATTCACTACAGGATTTCTGAGGTCTGTACACTTCTAGAAAGGAATATATTTTCCTTCAAGGGGTGTCTTCACTGAAAAAAAAAGAAAAAAGAAAGGAACCAAAACAAACCAAACAAGTCATAAATAGCAACTTGAATATTTTATTCTGCAAAGTAATAGTTTGCATGCAAATGGTTCCAAATCAAGACAATGATTCAAGCACTTTAGGTGCTCAGTGAAATTCCAATTCTGACCAACTGCTGCAACCAGCTCATGTGGACAGTCATAATGAGTCAAACTGGATCCAAACTCCCTCAGTTATGGGAAAGATTCTCTAGAATTAACCAGTCTAAAGCCATTTAACTGAATAAATCTCACAAACTCAAGGAAATACCAAATTAGACTGAAATGCATTGATTCCATTTTGTAAGTCAAAATCATGTTAATTGCAGCTATTTATCTCAGGTCAAACATCAAAGACCTTTCTATCTTTCAAGTGTATCACTGGAATATCATCTTGGTTCAGGTAAAATGTTTATCTTTATGGTCAGCTTTTTGCTTTATTGTAGATTGAGCTTGAAGAGGTGCTTGTATGAGGTAAGCCAGTATGACTGTTTAGTATTTTCTTCTCAATAGCATATAAAATACAAAGCATGTGATATCTGTAGAATATATTACTCTACTTATATTACCAAAGCCATGGAAAATTATTACATAAAGTAAAGCTGTTTCACGTAAGACAGAAATATGAAGCTATAAAGATGTACGCTTCAGGATATTCAAAGCAGGAATGAACATGTACATTGATAAAAAGGAATACTCAGAATTATTGCAGCTAATGATGGCTTATTTTTCAAGACTTATTAACTATTATTATTGAGTGATGCAAGGCATAAGGTATTGTTTTAAAGGACTGGGAGAGCAAGGAAGGTTACTGAGTATTTCTCAGCTGAGAAGTATGTGCATCTTTTTGTAAAAATGTTGATCATGCCTGTCAGTATCAGAGATTGTCTTGTTTCTGTTTGGAGCCAGTGTGAACATTCTTACATTGTTTTAATATACTGATTTTGCACAATGTTTTGACAAGCATCATGCAGAAAATAAAAACAATTAAAGACTCTATCATGCCTTTAATGAAGTCAATACCATTTACCCTTTGATTACAGAAGTATCTGTCAGGCTCAAACTGTTCCCCTCTTCTATTCCCATTATAAAGGATGAATAAAATATATAAAAGTTGGACTGTCACAATGGTCTATGATTCAGTTTCTTCTAGCCTGAACAGAAAGGTTGATAGAATATGTCTCATTGCCTTTGTGTTTCTAAAAATATGTCTGCCATACATTTTCTCACATTTTTATCTGTGCACAGAGAGAACCATTTAACATTCACTAATATGCTGCCTTACTCTGGGAGTGCCTCTGATGGAAACTGCTTCTGGAGCTGGCTGTGAAGTTTTGAGAACTGGTCAAACGATTTCTCCACAAAAGTGACCACATTGCAGGTTTGTACCACCTGGACTAGATATAGCTGTATTGGGGAAAAAGGAGAAGCAGAAAAAAGAAATGATCAGAGAGGAAAATTAAAAAAAAAAAAAAAAATGTACAAGTGAAAATATAGGGTGATTTTTACAAAGAAAACCTTTCTTTAATGTAGTGCCAAGTGCCACAGAATTCAGTTAGTAATTTATATCTTTGCTACACAGGAGGAACTTGCCTGGATAGCATACAACTGAAAGATCACTGTAGTGCGTGAAAACTAATAATGCACCATTAAACCATCATATAACAGTCTCCAATTTCTATTAGGCTTCCTAATTTTGTGCCATGCTTTCCTCCTGGATGCTTTAATTAGCTCTTGATTTATTTTTCACTACAGGGCAGGAACTTTTCTCCTTAATGGCTCCCTGCTAATAGCCGTCTGCCTGGTGTTCTTTCTCTCTGCTACCTCATTGGCACTGCTGTGATCCTTTCAATGTGGCAAAAGCACATCTTATATAAAAGAGGAGGAAGAGTATATAAGCTCACAAAAGAGTCATTGAAGATCAAGTGAAAAATACAACACATACGGAGTCAGACTTTTTGTTGAACCCCAAAATGGTGGCTCTTGCAATTGACTTCTCTGTGTTCAGCATCATCCATTCCTGGGGGACAGTCTCTGGAGCTGGAGGCTTTGCAGAGCCTGTCACTGACATCTGTGCAAGTGTGTGGATCAAGTTATTGAGCTTAACGGGAAAGCACTCCAAACTTTCCTTTATTTTCCTGAAAAACAAACAGAAGAGGTGCTATTGATGTATCTGGATCCCATTTCTTGATCCTTAGTTTCACAGATACAAGAACCAAAAAAAACCCATACCTAAAACCTACCTCACATGAATATGTACCATATGCACACCACTGACCATTATTTGCAGAAATACATTTCCATCCCTTGAGCCCCACTGCTTTGAGGACCACTCTTGCTGTAGCTTCTCATGACTGACCTTGAGGTAGTTATACTTCATAAGCTGGATACAACCAGCCTATCAGACGAGAGACAGCCAGAATATTTTCATGTGTATTTTGAGGAATTCCAGGTTAGAACAACATGTGCTCACTTCAAAAGGGACGGAAGATTGTCTTTGCAATTTCATTACATTAATCTCACATGGACATTAATCGCACATATGTCTGCACAAGGCTAAACATCTCTTGCATCCAATTTTTAATTTAATTGTGAGTGTCTTGTTAAATCCCCTACACAATTCTTAGAAGCCCAGTCTTTGTGGAACAGCTTAAGATGTATATATTTATTAAAAAAAAAAACACAAATAAATTCTCTTCTCCTCCTATCTTCTCCCATCTCATCCCTGTGTGAGAGGAACCAGAACATACTTCTAATTTCCTAGCTTTGAGATCTTTCATCAGAAAAGACACAATGGAAAGAAAAATTACTAGATATACATGCAGATATGTAGCACAAACTTGTTTTAACATCGAAGTGAACTTGAATTGAGAAATAACACTGCAAGATAATAACTGGTCTTTGAAGAGAATATGCAGTGCTTATTAGAAAACAGTTGCCCTTCTGAATTCAATTGCTGGTTAAAATCTATTTAAAATGTGTTACTATTTTTTTTTCTATTTCCACACTTAATTCTATAGCTCTCTGAAGACATTCTGGATGGGTTTTATGTTATAGAACAACATCCTATTAGTTTCAGGCCATATAGTAGCAAACCTCTATCAAATTGTCTGGTGTTCCCCCCATTCCCCGTTTTGGACTATATCTAACTAGCTTACAGGAATTGACAATACCCTTAACCACCTTCGTCATTACCTCTTTGAAGCTGAGCAAATGCTTCATCTGTCATTTAAGATTAAATTCTTATTCATGTGTTTCTCTGTGTGGGCTGGATTGCATACTACAGTCAATTGAAATCAACTCCATTCATCCCATTAGCCTGATTTTCATGATCTCAGACATTCTGGCTAAAGACTATAGCTTTACAGATGCCACCATACCAAAAAGAATATTCTACCTGCAGCTAGCTCCCCAGCTTGCTCCCCCAACCTGAGATCTCATTCAAAATACCATGTGAACTCATCATACACCAATTAGGCAGACTAAACTAAGGAAACAAGATGTATATGCTTTTCTTAATGTAATAGCATGAGAGGTATCTCTGAATTGATTTAGTTCATTACCTTAATTATTAATTACATTCTTCATAAACAAATACCTACAGACTATTTAATAAATAATTAATACTAAAATTGAAAACAAGAAAATATATCTAATTTCAAAATATTAGTACAAAATCACTGATTAGTTAGGTCACATCTGAGGTGAACATTTCTTTTTTAACTCTTATGTGTTTAATTTAATGTTTAGTTTAAACACTTGCTAAATCACTGAGACATGATTTAGGTTATAGAAACTGTAAATTGGCCATATTATAGCAAACTGATTAGGGATTTTGCAATGTTACTATAAGAGGTATGTTTACTTTGCAACTAAATACAGTGAATTTAAATTCACATAAAACAGGTCTCTGCTTATAAATTAGTATTAATTCAGACATCATCACTGTCACAGAGCAGCTGATATTGGAATATTACTATTTAAACAATCCAGTATTTTAATAGTTTGTAGTTTTTTCCATGGATCCATTAAACTTCTAAAATACTTTTAACACTTAGATTGCTAATCACATGCCTTCTCTAAACCGAAACAGAGGCTTTTGTTAATGCTGCATCACTTGTCAGTGTTTAAAGGTAAACATCTAAAACAAAATAAAGCCAGAATTATATATAGTTTTTGCCATCTCTATATACTCTGCTTTCTCTGTATGTGGTCCTCTCTGTTATAATAGAAAGCAATAAGCAATCAGTATGTCCTGTCATTAAGAATGAGTTTAAAAGGCCTCTTTGCTACTCTGATGACATCTCAGAGTGTGTCTTCACAGCAAGGTACAACAACTACAGTTAAAGTTTGCTGAATTTTCTTTCAAGGGTGAACAAGCTTAAGAAAACTCTCTATTCCACAGTTTCTCAAAGCTTCCTAACTATGTATGGAACAGTGATGTACATCAAACTCGTGTCATCTTTTTAAATTTTGTGTTTTATTTTTGGTGTATATTACATCACTGACCCAGTTTACCACATTGTGGCAATCTGATTCCCCTTTCTGCCAGCATTTTAAAAATTCATTATAAATTCATAAGAATCTGTACTAGAACCTTCTCCTTGAACTCTCTCAAATGCTTTCTCTTCTATTGAGCATCATTAAGTTTAGCCACTGGTGAAGAATTTGTTAATAATGGGTATCATTTACTGAGATCCTCTTGCTCCCTAGGTCACTACCACTTTTGCTGTGCCTATAGCTGGCTCTGTCCTCACAATGATATCACTGTGAATCATAGTATTTCTAAAATAAAGTTTGCTGGCAGCAACATTTTTTGTTTGTTTGTTTGTTTGTTTTTTCCACATGACAATGTTTTACCACACAGATTGCTGTCTGACCTATTTTGCGGAAACATGAGTTAAATATCTGGGATTATTCAAAAGGAATAACTTTTCATGTTCCACCTGCTGCACGGGCTTTGACTTTCAGATTTGGTTTACAGATTTTCTGCAAAACTGTCAAATCACTATCAGGTGAAACATGCACAGACTGGTTGTAAACATTTGTTTACAACCAGTTTATGTAAACAGATGCATGAAATATTTGGCTTTTTCAAGAGTGCCTAGTGATGGAAGTATACCCCCAAGTCTACATGAGAAAGTAGTGAAGTCCAAAAAGATTTATTATGTGAAATATGTGGTGTTGAGACTCCAACAGCCATGCTACGTGCCTTTTAGGGGTTTACTTCAGGCTAACTCTGATTCTATGGGCAGAGCACATCAGATACTCTTTTGAGGTGCACCTTCCGTTCCAGTTTCATCACTGCTAGTCTTCCTGTGCACCTCTCTCCCATACAGAGAACATTGCCTTCCCTGAGCTGGTGACATATGGGGTTTATGCAACAGTATGAATGTCTCAAACAACATAACTTCAAGGAGGAAGTTTGCCTCTGTTCATTTGATGCAGGTTTACCAAGACCTTTACAAACTACTTGAGTGCAGCTGAAAGAGAGTTTAGTATAGTAGTTTTGTCTATGTCCCATTAGAAGTCACCAGCTGTCACTGTTTTTTCAGCTGTTTGGAAGATTTCTTGCTGGAATATCTGCAGTCACCTCAGAAACAGGGGTTGTCTGATCATTTAAAGATTAGTGTCATGTTTTGAAAGGGGTTACTGTGAACTGTCCAGTTTCGCAGCTGTTGGCAGTTGTGGTTTGGAGTGGATACATTTGACCTAGGCAATGGCAGGTACCTAATAAATGAAAAATAAGTAAAGATGGCAGCTGACCTTAGCAGCACCCCTCAATCAAGCAACTGAAGATATGCAATGGTACTTCGCTGGTAATTGCCAGATCCACAGTGCCTCTCTTATTCATGAGTTTCTAGAAGTGAGTTAGATTGCATACTACAATCAATTGAAATCAACTCCATTCATTGCACTAGGCTCACTTTAATACCTTAAAAATAATTTTAAATACATATCACTTTACAGGCATATTAAAAATGTCAGGCAGCAGTCGACACCATGCTGACTTTTGAAGATTATCTACAGAAAACCAAAGAGGAAACTTATATCCAGAAATAGGATGACTTTCTTTTTTTCATTGTTATAACTGAGTTGTGAGGTAATGAGGAAAGGAGGGAGGGAAAAGGATCAAGTTGAGTTTCAAGGATCAAACTGAGTTCAGGGCAGATGCTGGAGAGACAACAATGTTTCATTTGGCACTAGGTGCACAGAAATTACAAGCAAACACAGAAACTCTTGTTTAACTCTCAATCGGTGCACTGTTTATTCATGATCTGAGAGTGTGACCTTCCAGAAGGCTGCAATCTGTGAGCTTCGGAACTGCTGCTCATCAGCTCGTAATAGTGAACTGACCCAATGTGAGAAGAGAACAGTACACAAATGAAACCACAGATTACTGAACATGTCTTAATTCAAAAGTGAGAGCAAAAGAAACACTGAATACTTTAGAATACTGAAAGGATTTGGACGTTAAAGTCCAAACTCTGGTATCATTATCCCATTGGCTAAAAAGGTGAAGGGCAAAGAAAAAATTAACATTGTTTTGCCAAGAATATTTGTGGCATCATTCATCGTTTTATGCTGTTTTTAAGTGCCAGTGGAGGCAATATCAGTACTATTCTCAAATCAAACTCAGACAATTGCTAAAAGCAATCTATTTCTAGAGAAATACAGTGAGAAATATTCTTCTCCTATTTCCACTAGCAGTTGTTTTTTTTTGTTTGTTTGTTTGTTTGTTTGTTTTTCCAGCTGATACGTTATATGATTGAAACTGAAAGATCACAATAAATAACTTGCATTTAGAACAACAAATAACTCTTGGCAGTTTTCAGCATTCCAATGACCACATTTCTTATCTAGAAATGAACTTTTTAAAAATAATGTATATAGAAATGAACTTTTTCAAAACAATAAAATGTTTACAGAAGTAATTGTGCAGAGAAAGCAGCTATGAATTTCAAAGGATTTGAAGGCTACTGGAAGTTATGGTAATAAACAGAACTTCTAATTTCACTTGCTTTCTAAGGACAACCTGAAAAATAGATATAGGAATAAAGTATGGAGAGACCATGAGAAGTGTGGGATTTGATTTTTTTCTCACCTGTGCTTTTTGTACAAAAAGGAATTAGGGAGGAATTTTTCTGAAGAATGGGAATAAAGACAACATAGGTAATGCAAAGCTCACAAAAATCTCAAAATATTAACATTCCTAGGAGCAGGTCAGAAAATGCTTATATTGACGGTAAGTCCTGAATAGATCTAGGTATAAGCCATACCAAAGACTGCCTGGAAACACTTTTCAGAAGTTAAAATTCTACTAGACATGAAAGCTGGCATTCTGCCTATGTTTAAACATGTAGAAGTGTTAGCTAATGCATGCTTTGAATTAACACAAATTATGTTTAAACATGAATACAAATTAGAATTTAAAAAAAAAAAGTAAAATGAGATCCATAGAAATTCATGAGCTAATGAAAAGACAACTTGTACTTAAAATGAGCATATATGATACAAACATACACTAAGGGTATTAAAGAAGCAAATATGCAACCTAACAATATCTGAGTTTTCTGTATGATATAATGATCTCTATGACCAGTAACAAATTCAAAGGAAATTAGAACAATAGAGTTCTCTAAAAGCATTATAGCAGAAAATACAGTTTCAAATAAGATCTGAGCCCACAGCACTGCACAGATCTGCAGCATGATGTTACTTTTATTGGTAAGCAGGACTTGAGGGTCAATTCCCACTCTAAAGTCCTGCACTTTCCTCAGCCTCAAAACTCCATAACCACCTCACCCACTTCGAAGAAAGAGTATGGAGCTCTCGTCCTGAATGCTGCCCTCATCCTTTATCTTCTGTCTAAGCAAGACTGCTGTGAATTTAACCCTAACCGTAACCTTATTCCTACCCAGCTGAAAAGCATACTAATGCTTTTAACCTCCAGAAGAGTTCTAGGCACTGGCTGAGTTTTGCGTGACACTAATTCAATTTTCGCTCTGAAGACTCACGTTTCCCTATTTGTTATGTATAACCTAGTCTTTTTTTTTCTCTAATTAAGTGAAATGGCTTTTGTACCCATGAGAGGCAAACACATCCACCCAAACTATGACAGATTCAAGACTTTTACATTTTAATTAGAAGCTGCATGTTTCCTATTTGAAGTGGAAATGTAAGTCTGTAATTTGGGAATATGTAAAATTTTAAAGGAAAGGATAAGGTAGGAGTTGACAGTAAATGTGAAGCTGTAATTAAATTTTAAAATAAACCAATCTTGTTAAGGGGCAATAGGAAAAGCATATGAGAAAACAAGAGTTAAAGGAGAGAAATCTCAGTGCTCTGCTGTGTGCAAAGTGATGGAACAATTGCTCTTGCCTAAAGGCAGTTCACGCGGTGAGAGAATTATGCGGCCTTATGGAAGTGTCCTTTAGGGCTTTGAGTTTGGAAAGACTGTCAACTGGACGTGCCCTGCACATGCACAAGAAGAAGCAGTCAGAAGGGTGTTGCTTTCTGTGCATGTGTATGCAGTGACCAGCAGGCTGTGATTTCAGACTGTCCTTTGCAAATGATGGTGTTGCAAAGGACAGGTTCTGACAGGGAGAGATCTTCTCATACTGTGCCTAGAATGAGAAAGTGTGCTTCCAAATCCATTCAGTTTCCATTGACTCAATATAGAGCATCATCAAATTAACAGTTGGAAATATATGTACTACAGAGGCCTGTCCCAAAAGATCACAACTGCAGGTTTTTTAATAGGTCATCTGCAACTCCTCACCAATAATCCCCAGTTATTATCACAAACAAGTAAAACGTGATTATCCTCATACAAATAAAGCATTACATATACCTATACTCACATACAATTCTGTTCTGTTATACATCTATTAAGTCCTTAAAAGGAAGAATAATTACCATTTTGCAGATGGAGAAACTATGGCTAACAGAGGCAGAGTAACTTGCCTGAAGCAACACAAAAGGTAGAAAGAAGATCAGAAAAGGGAATATAATGCAGGAATTTTAAGTCCTCATTCAGACGGTTAACAAGTCAAACCTTTTTATGGGAAGATTTTACAAAACCCACTGCAAACATTATTCAGATTTTGTTGTTGTTGTTTTTGTTACTTGGAAGAACATTCAAACATTCATTCAAAATGTCTGCAGTCCAAATCATGTTGCATGGAGTTAGGAGATCTAAAGGCAGTGGTAAACTGGCTATAAATAAGCCATAGTGGTTTTACCATTCCAACTGAATAAAACCAGTAGACACTGAATAAGTGTCTTCCTACATATGTACCACAAGTGCACAACTGTGTATCTTTGAGAAACTTGAGAAGGTTGGTTATAAGATGCATAAGGAGTGGATTTTTTAAAGTAAACATATGAGGATGAATTATCCTTTTGTGTAATTTCATTGATTACAACCCCTTAACATAAGAGGAAAAAAATGTGTTCAAAAAATATAATAAAAAAAAAAAGACAGCTTTTCTTTATGCCTGAAGGTGACAAACTTTCTGGATTATATTGCCTTTACCTTGTAAAGTAGCTTGTAGCCTGGAGGTCTGAGTCCTGAGGACGGAGGTTATCATAGACATATTTCAAATCCTGAATGCTCTTCAGTTCAGGCAATCCTGCATGCAGCATCTTAAAGTAAAGAAATGTCATTACTTCCTTGTACTACTAAAAATAAAATTAAATTAAATGGGGCCAACTGAGAAATGGAAGGATTTACACAGAAAGGGCTTTTTCTAAAACACAAAGTTTTGCTGATCTGTAAAGTTGTTCTGGTGCTAGAGCAATGCCTGGAATACTAAAGGGAACATATTGCACTGTAAACTTTCACAATGAGGTACCAGGAAGAGGAACTGGAAAATCACCAGTCTATTTGAACTATTTATTTTCTATTCCAATGTCACAATCTCAATACATGCCTTGCTAATCTTCCTTCATAGCTTTCTAATGGTGATAATGTACACAACAGGATGCTGGGAAAATGTAGCCACCTGAACAATAGTAACCACTTTTCTGTTACACTGACAATGATAGCCAAGCCCTAATCCTATTTAGTGCAACATCACCTTCTCATCCGGAACTACGACTTCCACTAGCACTGCTCTGGACTCTTCCTGCAAATGGATCGTACAGTCATTCCCTTTACGGTCAGTGGAGGAGAAAGATCCTTTTAAATGTTCACTTACAGAAGGAGCCCTGACTTGGCCACTCAGAACTGCTCTCTGAAAGAAATACATAATTCCCCTTCCATGAGGGATGGAGTTGGTCTAGTTAGTTGGCCACGTTAGGTTAAAAAGACAAATAATACAAATATTTCCCTTGGAAAGTTACAGTACAATGAGCAGTGTAGACAACTGTGTCCAGTTGACCATACATCTCTCTCCAGGCAATGTAAAATGTCACAACAAAAATCTTTTTGATTCACTTCAAAACATACTGATTTTTCTCAACGATCACAGTAAGTTGAGAGTGTGTGAGAGTTTTGTGTGTAATGGAGAAAAAAATCACTCCTTCACATTGCTCAGAAGGAAACGTATGTGATTTTGCAGTCACTGCTGTGCATTCTTCATTGACATTTATGTCTACTGCAGATAGAATGTCCTGCTGAGTTTTGCAGATAATGGCAAAGAAAAAAAAGAAACACTGATCTTATTTTACGGTTTGGTTGAAGGTTAAATAGAGGAAAGCGAAAAGGGATGAGGGGAGGGTGTCATTTTCCTTATTACTTCAAACCTCAATATTTTTACATCAAGTTTCAATATTTTGTATGTTTTCTTTTTGGCATTATGAGGAAAATCTTGCTTCATGTAAGGCCAAATCAATACTACCACTGGACCTTTAGATTGCTGTCTCACACAGTTCTGGCTAGCAAGGAGCAGAAAGACAGAAAGTTCAACGAGGTGAATGTAAGTAGCTTGTTTTCTTGACTGGATGAAACTTCGTGAGTTGAGAGCTGGGACAATAACAATGTTCGGCACTTAGGGATACACACTGCGTCTCCAGCACATTTTCGTCTCCAACACATTTATAAGAAAGGTAACTCCTGTCCCCTTTTAAAATTAAGAGAGTTGTTGCATAGACAAATTAAGCTTCTTGCCCTTCATTAGAAAATGGAACAATGACAGATCTGAACATAATCTGAATGATCCATAGTGTGACTGCATAATGGGATTCTTTAGGATCCCTGAACTGCAGAAGGGGGAAAGTCATTTGCCAGCCCCCAAAATGTCTTCAGCTGGGTGGTACCTACACACTGTTTTGCTGACTGCAAGAGCTGCTAGAGGGTTATTACACTGCTTCATCCCTCTTGCTTCATATTACCATATCTATCTTGCTTTCCCTCATGGAGGAGGCTTCTAAAAATGTGGCTAGTGTTTCTAGATGCTAATTGGACAAGAGATGGAACAACTGTTCAGAAAACAACTACAGGTTGCCTAGGGAAACTCAAATACTAGATGCTTAAGTTTAAGCGTCTGGATTTATCCCCTCTTGTCTGGCCACACGTCTTGACCTACCACACTTAATCATCTCAGGCCATCTTACTTGTTGAGCGGAACTGCTTATGCTCTCCTTGGGCCTGGATTCAGAGCTCCTACCAGCCTCTGTTTAATAGCTCACATCAACTCTTTAACAAAAGCAAATCTAATGAACTACTGGCATTTATACAGCTGAATGCTGTCAACAGACTGTTGGGTCTCCCACAGATGTTTCTGCTTTTCAAAGTGATGGAAACTTCATGGATTATTTCTTACTCCCAGCAGAAAATGTTGGAACAGTTCTAGAAACATGCTGCTCACCACTATGAAAAAGCATTAAGTCCCATACTAGGGGAAAAAAAAATCATGAAAACACTTTGCTAGAAACCACTAACAGTCACTGATCATCCAGAGTACTGTTTACAGCTCTTGTCAAGCTGTACTTTTTGGAAATGGCTTTATAGTTTGGATTTTTTTAACCATGCTTTACAAATAGTGTCTTATAAAACAGAATGGGACAGGGGAAAGAGAGCTAAATGATGCAGATGCAGATTTCCAGATATTGAGAGGTATCTTAGACTGTCATTGATACACATAGGCAGTGGTTAGTTTGTCTTGTCCTTTCCTGATAACATCTGATATTTTGCATAGAAATTAATTCAAATTATGACTTCACGGTGTATTTAGTTTTCTTAACTAAAACAGTTTCAGAACTAAAACATTTTGATACCTTCTTCCAACCAACACTCCATTTCAAGTACAGAACCAGACTCACCTTTCCAAACATCACTGGCAAAAACAAGGCATGCACAACTCATCTAGTTTTATAATTTCCTTTTGACATCAAGTGCTCATCAATGAGGTGTGAGTACACTGCCAGTTATTTTTCATTATGAAATGCAACACAATTGACTGAACTGCAGTTCATTGACCAATGCTTAAACATATTTGTATCCTGAATTTTAGCTCAGCACTCAAAGAACAGCAGAAACAATAGAAGAGGCAGTATGCCCTGAATATAGACAAACCTGAGCTGTATCCAGGCAGAGATAGCTAGGTATTTCAGAGTTCCTGCTGGGAACATTTTCCTAACACTCTCTCTTTATATTATCTCACAGTAATCTAACATCAGTATCTCTGCTGGTTGCAGAAGAAGGGACTGACTGCACTGAGGACCTGGGGGTGAACAGGAGATGTAGCTATATTTCCAGCATGCAGTTTTAGGCAACCTGTCCAGAAATGCAGAGATAACTGCTATGGATGAGGGTGCACAGGTGCTCTTGAATTTTTTCCAGAGACTCTTTAACTTTAACTTAGATAGTATTTCCCAGAATGGCATTTTGTACTGCTTCCAGCCACTATGGTTACTATGTGTTTGGGAAGAAGCAGGGTTGAGATTTGGTGCAATCCTTCCTGCTCTGTATTGGGTAATCACACAATGTACCACTGCATGAGAATTCATGGACAAGACAGAGGCAGGACAAGGAAATTCTTGCTGTTTCTCTCCCCCCACACACCTCTCCACCATTGCAGAAGCTGGAGACAATAGAGCTGTGTTTATGGAGTAACATTTTGGCTGTACTCCAGCTTCCACAGGAATTCTGGTTATAACTTCATATAGAATTTTCATACACAAACATTACCTAGGCTTTGCATTGGGCCCTGGACATAAGTTTTGGATTAATAGTCTAACCAAGCATATAAACAAATATTAGTTAATTTAATATTCTCATTCTACCCGTGAGAGGGGAAAATTATTAAGGTTTCATACACAAGTAGAGTCATAAAGAACTGATGGAATCTGCCACAGCACGTGAATCAGCATGAATACTTAAGGGATAAAAACACCTAAAGATCTTAAAATTCTATACAGAAGGATTTTAAAATCTGTCTTAATATAGGTCTTGCTACTTTATTTGCCATCCTAAAAAGGGAGTGTGGAATTGTGCAAAAAAAAAAAAGGCATCACTGGTAGCTGCAGTGCTGCTACATACTCTTACATCAGTCAATGTGTGAAACATTTAGTTTTCTTTGGCTTGCTGTAACCATAAATGAGGTTGGCAAATGATTGCTTGAAAACCTTGAAAAATGACTAAGTGAAAATTCCTGAATTTAGACCTTGCACCCAGGTTATTTTACAACTTTCAGCTATTTTGTAAAAAAACAAACAAACAAACAAAAACAAGTGGCAGCTTAGCTTTTCTCTTCTTAGAAATTAGTACATGAAATTGCATATTTTCTTTGCACAGGAAGTGCCAGCACTAACATTTTCTGGAGTTCAGCTTGATACCTCTTCAAATCATAGTGCTACAGGAGGCAGTAGAGAAGCGTTAAAAGGGAAGAGAACACCAGAGGAAATTGATTTTTGGTTTCATCTTCAAGTTTCTTACCATCTCCAGCAGATTCAAGAGTAACTGGCTGTGTTTCCTGACTATATTATATGCTCGACAACAAAGCTCCACAAACTCTTGAAAACGCTGTGGGTTTTTTCCACCTTCTGTGATGAAATACTCCATCTCTGATGTGAAGATGAAAGAAGCTCGGTCCCTTAAAAAGAGAACAATTACATGAGAAATTTCATTTAAAATAGCAAATCATGCAGGACGGTTAATATTTGTGTCTCATTATTCATATTTGTTTTTCCAGTATTATCTTCCTCATTATTTCATCTCTCCTTTCCTCCAGTGTGGACAGGTCTATTGGTCTATCTGGTATCCCTGACTAATTGGGGCAGAGACAGGTTTCACAGTAAGAGCTTCCCAGTAAGAAAGACAACAACTGAACAAGTTTGGGGCTTACTTATTTTCCTCTGTCTTTTCTTTACTTTTCCTTTTAAATTCTCATTGCTTAATTTCTTGACTTCTGCCTGAAAGCGAATCTGGAAACATGTTCACGCCTAGTATTGAAATATTTAAAAGCTGTTCTCAAACAGGATGGGATATAAATATCAACTCTCTACCAGGCGAGAAGTGAGTTAAAGAAAAAAAATGCAATCCCACAATCCAAAAGCAACAACAAAAATATATAACATATGATGTGATCATTAAATATACACCATTTTGAAGGGATGTTTCTAACTTGAGTTAAAACAGAATAAACCCAAATACATTCTCTTGTTCTATGTATAGTTACCCTGTATTCACTCAGGAGTAAATGAGGTGCAGAATCTGAAACCATGGCTTGCCTTTTTTCTTATCACTAGCAATGTTTGTGACTATGGCATGCTATAGAAGTAAAAAACAAATTAACCAGGCTTCTGCTAACAATGCTATCAGTTGATAGTTTTAGAAAAGACAGATATACTGCATCTTACCACAGACAAAACTACTGCAGTGATTTTCTCATCACAAGTGTGTATACAGATGCATGTACACAGATTAGAGGGCTATATCCCACGGAAATACACACAGTTGGTTAACCCTTAAATCAAAATAAACTCGAGTAAACCAAATACTTTTGGGAAACAAATGCAGAAACAAAGCTGAGAATGTCTGTTTCTTGCTAAAACCTCAAATGTGGGCAGAACCTGCTCTGCTTGCTGATTCATTCATAAACAAGACAGAGAAGAATTTCCTTGGAAATTTCATCATTTTCCTACAAAAATGTTTGCTTGGTATTACTGTAGAAAGTCCAGTTGCCATGAGATTCAAGGCTGCAGATGGAAGTCTCAGTTACATGAAATGTTACATGACCTTCCCTTTCTTATTTGTGGAATATTATTTTTGCTGTTTACAGTGAAGACAACTTCCTTGAAAACAGACCCCCTACAGGCATCATTCAGCTCAAACCAGCCTAGGTCTTCTTTTTTTTTTTTTTTTTTTTTAATTATTACTTTTATATTTTTTTTTTCATTTTTTAAAAAAATATGTTATTCCATTTCATTTAGGCAGTATTAGGAATGACAAAAATCTCCACAATATTGATTCTTATTCTTTTCTTCCACATTTTCTGTATCATGCAAGATGTGAGATGTATCATGCAACATAACAGTGTGACAGTTATATTACAGTAAGACTTTTTCACAGTGATTTTGTAGTTCTGTGCTGTAGCTCTCAGAGAATTACAAAATTGATTCTATTACTGATTTCAGAGAGCAAGATTTTCCCAGAGCCATCTCTTATTCATTCATCTTTCAGCTTATCTTTTGTCTATCAGTGGCATTTAATGTAGATGTTAAGTATTAATTAGTTAGGTTCAATTTGGGTCTCAGAAGTCAATTTGTTGAAACCAGTAAGAAAAAGAGATTGACCCAGAAAATAAACATTTTCACTTATCTGTGGGTAGACACCCAACCTAAAATCTTATTTGAAAGCTTTCTAGCACCTTAAGAATGCGTAAAAAACAGAACTCAGTTTCTTGTCCAATATCCCAAGCCAAAATAACTGCTCTAAATTTACCATAATGTGTACTATATTCAAAGCTCATATTTGATTTCTGATGTCCAGCTGCATGAAGAGACACAATTACACTATGAAGACAAAGCCCTTTCTGAGCTAGTCCAAGTATCCCACATTAAGCTACTTGCTTAAAACAGATAGTTACATCAGAAATTACTTTAATGGAAGAAATATTATGTTTAACATTGCTGGGTTGGGCTGTGGGCCAACTTCCACATAATGCATTGACTGCAACATTAGTCAATTCCCCTACTGCTGTTGCTAAAGGATCCATTTGAACACATAACTGATATGTTGGTATTTACATGTATATTACTTACAGGTTAATTTTTCTTGTGAGATAATTTTAAGCAGTTTTACAAGGTTCTTAAATTTCTCAGTATTATATTGAAGACATTATTATTATTAATTCGGTAGGGCTCTCCGCCCTTATTAACCTGCAAAATACAGTATAGAATTTTTTTTTCATTATATAAGCCTGATTTTGCTCGAGGTATTGTAGTATCAGAACCTCACCCATAAGTAACCCCTGCAATGAGTCAGACACTAAAGCTCCATGTTTGCCTGTGTCTAAGTAAGCTGTCCACTCAGAAAGGGATCACTTTGCAATTGAAATAAAAAACATGAAAACAACCTAGTATAAGAGACAAGATCCATGAGAAGGAACAACAGAGTCATTTGTCATGATAATATTAAAAAGTAAAGTTTCAGTGGGAAGAGATACTCATTGACAGTAGGTTAAAGATTCTGAAAGAAAAAAAAAAGAAAAAAACAATTGACAGGGCTGAACATCTATGTAAATAGGCAAAATGTTCTTTGCTGTTTTCACAGACTCCTCTGGAATATAAAAATATGGAAAGTGATAATCTAAAGATTAGTCCAGAAAAATTACATACAGGCAAGTGTAAGTCACCATCAATCATGCATGGGAAAACTTACATCAGCAAATGATGGTGGATGTTTTAGCTTGCATAAGAAAAAAAGCAATGACTGCTCTGGTTTTGTATGAGCTTTTTAATTTATCACACATACATGTGCAGATGAACTTCACCCAGGTGTACAGCCTATGTTTCTATATTTAAGCCATCTCTAACCAATAGCCTTCTCTATGGCACAATAGCTTAGATAGTATTACAGATAAGCTTGTTAATAAATATAAAAAACATCACTTATTTGAACATAACCCTATTACATAATTTGTTCAAATGAAATTATCTGAGATAATTATCTATCTATCTAAAAGATAATTATCTAAAACTATCTAAACATTAAAAACTTTATACCCCCAAATATACTCAAGATCACAGATAAAACCTATAATACTTTAAATCCATGGGATGCGCAAGGACCCATATTCTGTACTACAGCCAATGGGAAAATAAGCCATAGCCTAAAATCTGTATCTATTACATTTTTTTTCCCCATGCAATTAATGAATAAGCTGGCTTTAGTTTAACAAAACTAGTATGATTAGGTACTTTCAAGGAAAAGACTTTTACTATGATATCCCTGTAGAAGACCAAAATCCTTTTTATTTTCTTGAGTACCACCATTTCTAGAAAAAAAACCTTATTGAGACAATTGGTATGTCTTGAGGTGGACCATACCATAGATGTACAGTGTATAATCCCCTCAAAATCATTAAATCTATCTTGTCACTCTCTCTCTCTCTATCTTCCTCCTCTCTTTTCCCCCATGGCACTAAAGATCTAGATGAGATTAATAAACCTTTTTTTTTTTTCTTTTTTTTCTTTTTTTTTCTTTTTTTTTCTTTTTTTTTCTTTATGGGAAATCAGTCAAAAAGGTAATACCCCATTTTATTCCAGAGCCTGATTGCAATCCTGGACATTAAAGAGTTTTGCTTTACTATGGCTGTGACAAAAGAGTGTGCTCACATCATGCACTCATGCAGGGAAAAATAAGATTAGTTTTATGTTTTGGTGGTTGTTGTTGTCGTTGTTGTTGTTGTTTTCTTTATTTACTGCTTTCAGAGATATAAGATTTTCATTGGAATGTGTTTTACAGTTCCTCTGGAGATTAAGAATGTTTGAATAATATGTCATCAGAGAAAGGAAAGAAATTAAACCTCAAGCAACTAAACAGATCATCATGCAAAAACAAACTTAGTTTGGGTTGATGGGAACACTTATTAGGACTTTACTATAGGCTAGAAATATGTTGCATTCGCTCACCCTCCCCCCTCCCTCTCTGGGATGGGGGAGAGAAAAGGGAAACTGAAGCCTGTGATAAAGACAGTTTATTAAGACAGGAAAATAATAATAACAATAATAATAATAGTACAATTAATAATAATGTGTACGAAACAGGTGATGCACAATTCAAGTGCTCACCACCCGCTGACGGATGCCCAGCCTAAGCTCGAGTGGTCTGGCCCCCCCACCTTGGCTAGCCACCCCTATATATTGTTCAGCATGACATCAGATGGTATGGAATAACCCCTTGGCCAGTTTGGGTCAGCTGTCCTGGGTCTGTCCCCTCCCAGCTCCTGCTGCACCCCCAGCCTGCCCACTGGCAGGACAGAGCAAGAAGCTGAAAAGTCCTTGGCTTGGTGTAAGCACTGCTCTGCAACAATTAAAACATCAGCATGTTATCAGCACTCTTCTCATCCTAATCCAAAACATAGCACCCTACCAGCTAGTAGGAGGAAAATTAACTCTGTCCTAACTGAAACCAGGACAGAAGACCAGTAAGATCATCAGGTTTTGTTATGAAATAGTAGATGTAACCTGATTAACCAGTTTTTTTAAGACAAACAATAGCTTGAGTATTTTCTATTATGAATCTCACAGCACAGAACATTCGAGATAGATACACTGACTGTATTTTATATAAGTAGCAAAAGCACATGAGATAATCAACAACAGCAACTGAACTTTACTCTGATCCTATCTAAACTTCTTAATAGTGTTGTTAGTGTTTAAGGCACATGCAATAATACAATAAGACAGAACCAGATTAGTTTTTTGGATGTAGTCAAAATTGTCATATGGACATATGAGATAGAATGTGAAATGTTTGCAATTTAAAAATCATCTTCTCAGTAGTATAAACCCCCGTATATTCCCTGACTGCTTTAAAACCACATAGGCTGAGTCAAGAGTGATGGATAGCATTCAGCATGATTATGTG